CAGGCATTTTAACCCCAATAGGAACTACTCCTCAGCTTCCTCACCTTTCCTGGTAACCTAAACTGGATTAGCTTCCTCATTTGCCAATTCCTTATACGTGCTAGAGAGACAAGAGAGGAGAGCCAAACAAGTAGCTTTAGGGGCCTAAAAATTAATTGTTATTCTAGTTTGTGAACCATGTTTCCACATATCTCATAATTAAGTATGATTTTCCACCATTCCCATTGTCTTTCCAGAGCTTCTCTTCCTAAATTATACTTCTCTGCAACATAACACACAGTACTTCCCTTATCAGAGCATTTCTCACACTGTACTGTAATTGCTTGTCTGTCTGTCCTCCCTACCACACTTCAAGTTCTGTGATGCCAAGGTCTGTGTCAGTCTTGCAGTGGAATGAAGATGGGTCTAGCATGAACTCAATGTTACAGAACTCACCAGCTGCATGAAGATTCCTCTGCTTTGCTCTGCCCTAGTCTAAGGCAAAGCCACTTGCCAATAATTGGTTAGCTTGTGTTTTCTCTTCTGGTTGCCCACATGGCACTGAGAGGTGCTGGCATGAATGCCAGGAGAGCAGGAACTAGGCTAAACTTTGCTTCCCCTAAACACCCAGCATCGCCATTGCTGGCTCATGGTAGATGTTCAAAAAACATTCTGAGGATGAATGAATGAATTAGAGCAATGAAAACCCAAATGAAGTTTCATAAAGAAGGTTTTATTCTTTCACTCATCTACTCACTCACTGTATTAGATGCTTACTCTATAGTAGGCACTATGCTTATGACTAAGGGGAAAGGTAGCAGTTATTAAATGGGGTTACTGGCTTAATAGGCATAATTAGAAGGGGCTCTTAACCTCATAGAGGGGTGGAGGGAGTGAAATTGAGGACATGCTTGTCAGGAAGGTGAGTGATTGAGGAAGTGATGGTTAGCTAGATTGTTGGGATAAAAAAAAAAAAGCTAAGCTAGATGAAATGAGTAAAGGGATGAGAATAGGTGGTGAGAATTCCAGGACAAGGGAAGTAGTTTATGATGCAAATTTTCAAAGACTAGAGAGAGCATCAGGCTGAGTTCAGTGGCTCAAATCTCTAATCCCAGCACTTTGGAAGGCCAAGGCAGGTGGATCGCTTGAGCTCAGGAGTTCCAGACCAGCCTGGGCAATATAGCAAAACCCTGTCTTTACAAACAATATAAAAATCAGCCGATGTGGTGGCTACACTTGTAGCTGCAGCTACTAAGGAGGGTGAAGTGAGGGGATCGATTGAACCCATGAGGTTGAGGCTGCAATGAGCTGTGATTGCACCATTGCACTCCAGCCTAAGTGACAGAGAGAGACCCTGTCTCAAAAACAAAACAAAAGAGAGAACATTGGGCATTCATGGAAACACAAGAAGCTGAGCATGTGGGCAAGGTGGGAGTGGAGAAAGATGAGGCCTGGGAGGGAAAGGCCAGGTCTCTGGGGTCATGGAAGTCAGCTAGTATGTCTGGCTGCATCCCAAGGCAAATGGAGAGTGATTAAAGTGCTGTAAGGGTAGGGTGACATCATCAGATTTATGTTAGGAAGTCATCCTAGCTGGAGAGTGGATTAGAAGGGATGATGGAATAAAAACTGGGCATGACAAATGAGGATGGCTTGGTCAAAGGTGTGACGGTAGGGATGCAATTATCATCAGAGCAGTGAGGCAGGGGAAAGAAGTGTCTAGTTGGGCTCATATTTTTAAATAACTTTGGACAGAACCAACCAAACCACAGAAGCGCATGTCAAATGTTTTATTCCACATCAGCCATTACGTTTCATCCTCAAGCCTTTGCTGAAGGCTGTGGAACGTTGTTAGCATTGGCTGGGTCTGAGTGCAGAGACCTAAGAGGATCTGGTTTGAAACCTCTTTTCCTTTGAGAAGAGAGTCAGTGACCAAATGTAGAGACAGCAGTGAATTATTGATGGACCTACAAGTTTTACACATACAGATGTTGCTTAAGACAGTTTTCCCCTAGAATCAGCAGTTAGCAAATGTGTTAATTAGATCAAGTCACCCCTCCCTACCTTGTAGTTTGTTCCAGAATCTTGGGGTGAGAACATTTGTAATTTGCAAAAGTAATATTTTATCTGTGGAAGACAAGCACACGGAAGAAAAATCTATTGTCTTGTACTATAAACTAAAGAATATAAAGTAAACGAAATCATCCTGGCTGTGGGATGTACAAATGTTCAGTGTTATAACGTGTGTCAGTCACTGACAGAGGGCTGGGGGAAAAACTAGACTGCCACGGGGACTGAGTGGCGGAGATATTTATGCTTATCAAAGGTGGAGGGCAGGGATCAAGAAATTTTGAGAAAGTGAATTAAAGTCTATACATACTTTAGTCATAAAGGCCAACAATGTATTATACTTTCCGCATTGGTAAAATACAACATAATCATACTTGGCATCTAATCACTCCGGATTTTGTGGTAGCCACTGGGATCCACCAACCACCTTTGTCCCTAGGAGTACATGATTTAATAAAGAAGACAGATACAGGGATCATTAACACTCTACCATGATAAGTATCATAACAGATACATATTTAAAGAACTCAGAGAAGAGAGGGATTGATTTCTAGTTGTTCAACTGTGTTTATATATCTTTATGATTGACATCATAAGTCAACACTGGGGAACCCTATACTCAACCTTATAAAATAATGTAAATATTTTTAAAATCCTATAAAACCTATAATCCTCCCAGCATCATCCCTGTGGGAGGACTTGATTGAAGCCTACAAGGATGAGATGACTGAGATACTAGTACCAGATGATCAGAGTCATCATCCAGATCAAAGGGGACTTCAAGTCTAGCCTCTTCTGTGACATTACACTAAATGTGTCCCCTCCTTTTTCTAAAAACTAAGATACAAACTTTGGTTTCATTTCTGGGACCAAACATAGTCAACATTTTCGGCATTAAAACCTGTAAGAAATTTGTTCTTAAGTTCCAATGTATAATCTCTTGAATAGCTTCCTTCTTTATGGCCTCATTTTACAGATGTGCTGTGAGTTAAAAGAAAAGGCCAGGCTTGGGAATCAGAGACCTGTTTCAAATCTGCCTCAGGACTCACTGGCTGTGCCAGCTTAGGCAAGCATCAACAGGCTGTGTCCTCAGTCCCTGTAGTGGCACACTGGAGAAACAGATGACATCGTAAGATGAGTACAGGCCTTGGCCCTGGGTAGCTGCCCTGACCCTCTCTCTGCTGCCACCATCCTACCATCCTAGTCCAAGCTACCATCTCTCATCTGGATTGTGGCAATTGTGGGGTGTTTTTCTTTTTCTTTTTTCTTTTTTTTTTTTGAGACAGAGTCTGGCTCTGTTGTCCAGGCTGGAGTGCCGCGGTGTGATCTCAGCTCACTGCAACCTCCGCCTCCCGGGTTCAAGCTATTCTCCTGACTCTGCTACCTGAGCAGCTGGGATTACAGGGGCCTGCCACTACACCCAGCTAATTTTTTGTGTTTTTAGTAGAGAAAGGTTTCACCATGTTGGGCAGGCTGGTCTCGAACTCCCGATCTCAGGTGATTCGCCTGCCTCAGCCTCCCAAAGTGCTGGGGTTACAGGTGTGAGCCACCCATTTATTCTGGGCCACTTCAATCTACCAGCCTCACCCTGAGAGCGAAAAGGATAGAGTCACCACCTTTAAAAGATGAAAATCCTCAACATGATTTATAATATTTTTCTGCAAACTGCAGGTCATGAACCATTACTGGCTCATAGAAACAATTTAGTGGGTCAAGACCAGCACTTTTTTAAAACAGTGAAGTAGAACAGAAATATGAAATTGTAATGCCAATCATAAGCATAAGAATTATTTCATGAAACTTTTCTCATTATGGGCCTTCTCAAAAAGTGTTTGAAGGCCTCTGGCCTGTAATACCCTGAGTAATACGACCCTTGCCTCCTCCTTTAGCTCCACTTCCCATCATCCCCACGCAGTTCTCTGCTCTTTACCCACACTAGCTTTCCTTAAATTCCTCCAACACATCATGTTTCTTTCTGTGGGAGACCACTTAGCACATGGTTTTCCTCCTTGCCTAATGTCATCCTTCAGGTCTCAGCTCGGATGCCATTTCTTCAGGCAAACCTTCCCGGATTACATCCTGAACCCCTGCAGCTGTCAGGGTCTCACAGATCTGCGTTCAGTTTTTAGTTATCCCTTTAATAGCATGTTTCCTCGGTGAGTGACAAGCTTTCCCACTAGGCTGTCTTTGTGACCGCAGGGGCCCTGTTCTTGTTTACCCCTGTGGTAATCCAGTGCCTATCTCAGGCTGGCACCTAGGCATTCAGAGGGATAAATGAAGGAAAGAATTGGCCAACCTGTTGACCAGTGACGTTGGCTGGCCTCCTTCCTTGCTTGGTATCGGTTTTGTTTCTAACCCTTGCACCGAGAAAACCACACAGGGTTGTACTGTCTGCCCAGTTCAGGAACTTCCTTTAACAGTATTTCTTTACTCTCTGAGTTTCTGGTGAGCTCAAAAACAAAACAAAATACTGCAAGAAAATTGTATGCGTGTGCTGGCCGTTGAGCACTTCGGTGGAGAGTGGGAGAAGGATCTTCATAAGATTTCAGAGGGGAACTCTGCCCATCCACTCCGAACCAGCTGCAGCTCCGTGAGCATCTCACGCCACCCCTCTGCATCCCCAGGGCTGCCGTGGGGCGCGCGCGATCAGCAAGCTTCTTGGCGCCCAGTCCATGCGACTATCTCTTCCCAGTCCCTGGACTAGGCCTGCCCCACTCGGATTCTCCACTCTTGGTAGCGCGCGTCCCCGCGGACTGCTGAGACCAGGCGGCGCGGCGGCAGGTGACCCGCTTCTCCAGTCCCGGGCGCAGCCCAGGGGACATTGTCAGCAACGCGGTGCCCGGCCCTGGGCCTCTGCAGCCATCTTCAGGGAGAGGGGCGCGGCCTCCGGACGCGGATCCGCCCCCGCCGCCCGGGTTGCCCCGCCCGGCTCCGCAGAGCGCGGCGCCTGGGTTCCGACTTCCCTTCCCTACCCTGCTAGGCTGCGTCGCGCGCTCACCGCCCAGCCCGCAGAGCTCGCGCCGCGGCAGCCTAGCCGCTCGGCCCCGCCGCGCTCGCAGAGGCCGCCATGGGCACTGCGCGCTGGTTCGCGCTGGGCAGCCTCCTCGCCCTGGCTAGGCTGCTGGAAGGCCGGCTCGTGGGCGAGGAGGAAGCCGGCTTTGGCGAATGTGACAAGTTCTTCTACGCCGGGACCCCGCCTGCGGGGCTGGCGACCGATTCCCACGTGAAGATCTGTCAGCGCGCGGAGGGCGCTGAGCGCTTCGCCACCCTCTACAGCACTCGGGACCGCATCCCCGTGTACTCCGCGTTCCGCGCCCCGCGCCCTGCGCCCGGCGGCGCCGAGCAGCGATGGTTGGTGGAGCCGCAGGTAAGCGAGGTGGTTCCCGAGCCGGGGACCGTGCCGCTGGACTTGCCCCCAGGGGCGCTTTGCGGCTACCGCGAGGGGCCGGGCCGGGAACAGCAATCCCTACGCCTTCGATGCCTTGGGCCAAGAAACTCGGGTTCCAGATCCACCCCGTTGCGTCCCCGGAGTTTAGCCTGCCTCGCCCTCTGTCGAGGCTACAATAAGAGCCTGGCGATCTGCGAGCCTTCACTTCACTTCATGAGTTGCAGGGGCGGGAGGTCCCCTGTGGGAGGAGGTTCTCCCTACATTTCTGAGCAGACATCCGCAGTGTTTCATTCCTGAATAGTGAAGAGCGTGAGACAGAGACCCTGGAGACCGTTCAGATTCGCAGAAAGCCTACGCTGGGCGCTCACAGGCCTTCGTGCAAGTTACTGTCATAGCACTCATTTGGAGGTGGGTAGGTGGGCATTTTCATCCCCATTTTACAGAAGAGGAGATTAACCCAGGGCGTCGAAGAGACTTGCGGAAGACCACCCAGTTAATAAGATGGGGCAGGTCTTTTGTCTAGAAATTCACTGTCTTTTCTACTAAGTAAAGCTTCTCTACTGCAGAGCTTATCCTAGCCTGAAAATCCTTCCTCTACACACGGCATTGAGTAAATTCGATCTGCGGTTGTGTTGAATTAGAATAAAATAAAGATACAGATTTTTAGAAACGCAATGGGATAGTTACAAATGATAGGGAAACAATGACTACCTCCAACTGATGGAAAGATAAGCTAGTTTTTCCTGACTCTTCATATCTATATTATCATACCACTAGGAAATCATGTCACCTCTCATGGTGTTCTGTCCCATCTGGTAAAGGTGAACAAACATTTGAGAAGCCCTCAGAGTCTTCCGAACCTGCTTTCTTGCTCTTAACACATCCTGACTTACCTCTGCTCAGTTGATCTCCTCTCTAGAACACCCTGCCAGGCTCCCCTTTCCCTCTCACCAGCCTCCCACCCCTGTCCAGGCTGCTGGGGGAGGAGCTGACCCAACGGCTCTCCCTTTCCTGAGGACCACAGCTGCCCAGGACCACACCAGTGGACAGGAGGCTGGCTTTCAGGTGCTTTATTCAGAGCCTGTGGATTGTAATCTCATTGAGATATTTCTAGCTCTGAGGTCTTGGCCAGGTCTCAAACAATCTGCACCTAGTTTTCTTATCTTCCTCACATCCTTCCACTTACCTCAATTGTTGATAACACCTGTTGAGATCAGGTATGTGCAAAAGACGTTGTCAATTGCACACACAAGATCCATTTAAATCCAAAATTAGTTTTCCTCCAGCTGTACCCCTAGAGCTCACAGGGTGTTGCCCACCTCTTGTCTTGCACTGTGATTGTGTGCCTGTGAAGAGAACAAATGACCTGGTCCTTTCCCTTGATCTCATGGATAGCTTGGGGAGACAGAACATACGTTTGAGGAAATCATGGGAATGCATGCTAAACGAATTTCAGTTAAATTCAGAACACATTTAGTGATCTCCTGCTGTGTGCCAGACATTTGGGATGCCAAGAGATCTGAGTGCCGTTCTAGAACAAAGGTTACCTGATCTGCAGGTGGAGTTTTCTGGGTGGAGAGGTGGTGTAGCATTTGATTAGAGCCATGCTATGTGGGTTCAAATCCTAGTTGCTCCGCTGACTAGCTATGAACTTGGGCAGGTTAAATTGGAGATAATAGCATAGGGTGTTGTGAGATTTAATGAGTTACCATATACAAAGTTCTCAGGTGTGTGACACATGAGTACTAGCTGTTGCTATGACACGGGCAAAAAAACCATAATTTAATAAAGGTGAACAAAGTTCTATTAGATTTAATCTGTCTTTGAGGTGATGGAAGCAAGCCTTAGGGTCAGGATGACATTTGTGCTTTGTGTGGAAAGATAAGGCAGAGTTTAGAAGGGAGGCAAAGAAGAGGACATTTCAAGCAGAGGGAACAGACATCAGGAGTGAGAAAGGCATGGCAGATTCAGGGATTTGTGCATGGAGAAGTTGGAACAGGTAAACTAATACAAATAGATTAATGTACTCAGTTGCTCAGAATAAAAGGGAATCACGGAAGGGAGGGATCAGGTGGGGAGGAGCCGTCAAGGAAGGCTTAGGGAGGCAGAGCCATTTATGCAACTAGGGAAGGAGTGAGTCATAAAGGAGCATAGTTTGCCAGAAAGAAGTAAAGGGAACCAGGTAACATGGATTCCGTGGGTGGGATAATGAGGAAGGGGACTGTGGAGATTAAAGAAGATGGGAAGGGAGGGCGGAAATAGTTACAAATGGCAGCTTGAGAGGTAAGATGTACTGTAGTTCTGAAAAGTACAAGGGGCCTGAGCTCTTACTGTGCTGAGAGGTCAGAATGGTCACTGTGGCTGAGCACTGCAGGATGCTTTTCCCTGCAAGGTGGATGGCCTCCCACACCCACCCACTCAACCCCAAGTCAAATCAGCCAGGATCCAGAGAGTATTGGGAGAGATGGAGGGAGGAGAAGGTGCGACGTACAGCTGGGCCTGCAGTGCACTGCAGCAAACCTGCCCCCCTGCTGCCTACTCCCTGACGCCTTGCCTCCTTGCCAAGATCCCCACTGCAGAAAGATGCTCAGGGCTCAATGTGTACCATTGGCTGCTTCCAAGCACTTTCTAATGCTGAGTCTCCTTGTGCCCACATCACCTTTTTGTGAGGTCAGTGTTGCCAAGAGGCCCTGCACACGGGAGGAAGAGGCAGGAGACCAAAGGAACTCAGTGCTTGCCTCCAGTGATGAGTCAGGCAGGGCAGCAGTGACACTGAGTTCCCAAAGCCCAGTTCAGTAGCTTTTGAGGCCACACTGCAGTTTCTCTCTGAAAACAATCTCCTAAGTCAAAGATCACAGAAACTTAGTCACTCTGGTGCTTAAAATCTGTAAAGTGTTGCCTGCCCAACCCCTACAGGACAAAGTTCACACTGCAGAATGCAGTTTATAGGCCCTCCATAGCCTAGCTTCTGTCTCCTGCTCCAGTCTGGTTTCTCACCATGCCCCACCCTCATATTTTATGTTCTAGCATTATCCAGCTGCCTGGAGTTCCTCTCATAAACCAGACTGTTTGTGATGTCTGTTTCTTAGCTCATGCTGATTCCCTTTGCCCAAATTCTCTTTCTACACGGACCCCATCTTATCCTTCACTTCCTGCTCTTACTCCATCCTTTAAGACTCTGCTGAGGTGTCACCTCCTCCAGAAAGAATTCCCCACCTAAATTGTATCCACCTCCCGAGTTAGGTCCTCCCCTTCAGTGCTCTTATAATTTTTCTATTTTCATACCTACCATATTGTTTTATAATTATCTGCTTATGTATCTGTCTCCCCAACTTGAGCCCTTGAGGAATGATGACTGCATCTTACTCATTCTTTTCCTAGTGCCCAGCTTATAGAAAGCACGTGATAAGTGTTGAATCAAATACTTTGATGTTGGGAGGATCAATCAGGCAGCAGCAGGTGAGATTTCTGCTTGAGTTTTCTCCGTGGGGCGCTTCCTGTTTCAGAAGCTTGCCCCGTGGCTGTCCAGCAACTGCTGTTACGAACGTGGTCCCTGTGCAGCACTGGAACCCTGCTCTGAAGCCACTCCATCAATCTTAGCTTTGGCCTTTGAAACTATCCCAAATGGTTTTGATCTCTGCTCTGCCTAGAGGAGATGATATGGAGGGGTTCTAGTCAAGACTCCAGAAACCTGAGAACTGGATTCTGGTTTAGTGCAGGAAGCCTCAAACCTTTTAGTTTGTCAACTCCTTTCCACTTAATGGAAAAATTTTTAGATAAGATACCAATGATGCCTTTCTAAAGTGCATTGCTGATTTATGCCAGAAGCCAACGTATAAAGCTTTATTATTTTATAAACGTGGAACTAACTGACTATATAAGGTTTCAAAGTGCATTGCTGATTTATGCCAGAAGCCAACATATAAAGCTCTGTCATTTTATAAACGTGGAAGAAACTGAATATATAAATTATATAATATTTATTATATATTTTATGTATTCATTATATAATATATATCATTTAATATATAATTTATATATTCAGTAATAATAGTGTATATTTGTTCAATCTTACAAAAATACTGTGAGGTAGATATTATCTTCTTCATTGTAGAAATGAGGAAACTGGCTCAGAGAGGTTAACTGAGGTGTTTAAGGTCACACAGCTTATTTTTGAACTCATTACTGAGTACTCTTCTGATACACCATGGAGATTCTTTGATCTCACAATGGATCCACTGCATTAATGGTTTTAGGACTTTAATTCTCATCTTTTATGTGAGAATTCTAATTTCTACTCCACTTCTATTTTCTGACAGTCATAGGACAAGTGGGAGCACTTATTTGGCTGCATAAAGGTTGCTGAAGTGTCCGTGACTGTGGAATGAAGGGGATATTCTGGTTAACTACAAAAACATTTTTCCGGAGGGCACAGTGAGGTCATATTTCAGATCTTAGTAAATGCATATGAACGGTTGTCTCAAGTTAGAACCTTGATTAAGTCCTTGATTTTTAATTTCCATCCATGGCTTTTACAACCTGAAATAGAAATATTGTTCAATTTGTTCCAACCTCAGCCTTCTTTTCATTGTGTCAGAGAACAGATATGTAGATCATCATACACTTAAATCTCTGTGTAAGGAATGCAGTGAACAGGACAACCCTGATTCTTACTCCTTAATTAAGAGACTTAATTCAGATCCCTGCTTTTCCATTTACAAGCTATGTGACCTTAAATTCTCCCAGCCCTCTTTTTTGGATCTGTTCATTAAAGGTCGTAACAGTGTTTACAGAGAGGTTGTAACAAATAAGATAACACATGAGAGCATGTGGCATGGTACCTGGAATATGGTAAACTCTTAGTAAATATTAATATGTATATAAGGTATTACTTCAGTAGGTGCTAGGCGTGCGCACGCGCGCACACACACACACACACACACACAAATGGAATGTTGGATTAGACAGGTGACACCTAT